CACCACCTCTACAAAAAAATAGAAAAATTAGGTTGGGGTGAGGTGGCTCACACCTCCAATCCCGGCACTTTGGGAGGCTGAGGTGAGAAGATTGCTTGAGGCCAGGAGTTTGAGGCCAGGGCTCATCTGTGAGTAAACAATCAAGGAGAGTGGGTTGAGGAAATACAGGGCAACACACAACTGGGTCTATCTAACAGGCATCTCCAAACTTAACCAACCCCAAACTGATCTCCTGATTCCACCCTCCCATCCAAACTTCTTTCTTTTAGTTTTTCCCATCCCAGTATCAACTCTGCCTTTTCATTTTCTCACACCAAATCCTGAGCATCATCCTTAAGGCCTCTTTCTTTTATATTCAAACCTCACATCCAATCTATCAGCAGATGACATCAGCTCTAGCTTCAGAGTATATCCAGAATCCAACCTCTGCTTCCCACCTCCTTTTCCATCACCCTTGGATGACTGTACTAGTGTCCCATCTGGCTCTCTGCTTCGTTGAGAGTAGAATGTTGCCCTCAGTGCATTCTATTCTCAATGCAATGGTCAGAGTGGTTCTTATGAAACATAAGTGAGATGGCATCACTCCTCCCCTCAACACCCTCTAATGTCTTCCATCTCACTCAGGGTAAAACCAGTCTTGGCTGTGGCCTGCAAGGCCCTACATCGTGTGCTTCCACCACCCCTCTGGCTTTCTCTCCTGTTTGCACACTGTCCCTCCACACTGTGCCTCTAATATGCCAAGCAGGCTTCCACCCCAGGGCCTCTGCACTTTAATCCAAGCTACTCAGGAGGCTGAGGCAGGACTGCTTGAGCCCAGGAGTATAAGACCAGCCTGAGCAACATCACAAGACCCTATCATTAATTTAAAAAAAATTTTTATAAAAAGACTCTTTCCCGTTATCTGAATGGCTTCCTTTCTCAGTGCTTCCAAGCTTTTAACTTCTATGCTCCGTTATTTCCTATCAAGCAGAGAAGGTTCCATGGAAGAAGATGGTACCAAAGGACGGGAAAGATAATGAAAACAGAGAGGAAGACTTGACTTTTTCAAGAGCTTACTGGAAAGCCCAAAGCAAGTGCAGGAATAATTTGGTCAAGAAGGAGACTTTATATGTGGGAAGGTGAGAGATGAAGGGAAGGTGAGACCATTCTCAAAGGTTAAGGAGCTAGGTGTTTTTTCTATAGACAAGGGTATCCAACTGAGAATCAATGTTAGTTCATTCAAGTTTCCATTGAAAACTGTCTTCCAGCCAGGATCTGTGAGTCACTGTTTGTTCGGGTGGCCTAAACATGTTCACGAAGGAAGCAATAGAAATCAGCTTTGACATAGGAACAACAGTGTCCCTGGGAAGAATCTTTCAAGTCCTTTTAGGAAGTCAAGGGGAGAAGGTGGTCTTCCCCAGATATGCACCCCATGATGTGCCAACCTGTGGTTGGAAATGGAATTCCAAAACCAACCCAACGGGAGGAGCAGGGGAAAGTCAGAGTTGTCTTTTGACGCATTTGGGTGGGGCCTTCCTGGCTCAGCCTCCCAGAGCTCTGATAACCACTATCGCAAGGTCAAGAAGGTCGGTGAATGTGGGCGCCACTGCCCTCTGCTGGAGGGACTGGCATCCTCCCCAAGACCTGATTTGGCTCCTGGTCAATGGGTCTTAACCTTCTTTGGATTCTGGGACCCTTTGAGAATCTGGAGAAAGTTATGGACTCAAAGAAAAAAAAAGACGAGCACTCATACATAAGATTGGCATAGAATTTCAGAAATTCATGGACAGAACCTCTGAAACCCATCCAGCTACCTTCCTAAAGGTATGACTTTAGAAGCAGACAGACCTAACTTCCAATTCAGGGCTGAGATACACACCCTTCTACTGTAAGACAGAAAAGAAATTAAGAGGAGGCTACCCAACCTATTTGGTGCCAAGAATGCCTTCCCCACCCCCTTGGACTCCAGGTTTAGAAATATTTTCTCTACCAAACAGATTGCATTGACTAAGATCATTTATGCATTCTCTAATTTTTTGTTAACCAAATGGAACAGACAAGTGATAGCCAGTTGCCCCATCATGGCTGAGTTCATACAATTCAAGTAAATATCAAAGCTAACTTGATATTTAGCCTGAGGAGCTTTGTTGTGGACAAAGGAAGTATTAATACTCAAGCTATAATGTTTAAACTTTCACTTATTCTCACCCTAAAGCTCACATACCTAAATCCAAACTAATTCAGTGATGCTATTTGTCTCAGGCTTATACTCTCTCACAAATCTACTTACCTGCACCTTTAAATGAAGGTAAATGCAGAAATTCCACCTTCAAAGACACGTTCCCATGCATTTCCTCACACTCAAACTCTCTCTGTGGTCAATTCAAACACATACTTCCCACAAAGCTACACTTAAACCCACTCTGGTTCTTATTCTTAAGCTGTGTCCCACACTGGAACCCTCTAGCCTCCAAGATAAGGCCATGTGAGATCACAGAATATCAATTGAGCACCACTGAATACCTGGCATGGCTAGTGCTAGAGATGGAAAAATGAAAAAGGATATAATTCCTGCTCCTGATTCACTAATTCAGGAAATATTGGCTGGACAAGGTGGCTCATACCTGTACTCCTAGTACTTTTGAAGGATAAGGCAGGAGGATTGCTTGAGGCAAGGAGTTTGAGACCAGCCCAAGCAAGAGTGAGACCCCATCTCTACTATAATAAAAATAGAAAAATTAGTGGGGTGTGGTGGTGCTTGCCTATAATCCCAGGTACTAGGGAGGCTGAGGCAGGAGGATCGCTTGAGTCAGGGGTTGGAGGTTGCAGTAAAGTATGATGATGCCACTGCACTCTAGCTCAGGGACTGAGTGAGACCCTGTCTCCATAAAAACAAAACCAAAATAAAACAAAAAAAGAAATATTGATTAGGCTGAGAGTATAGTGGCTCGTGCCTATAATCCCAGTACTCTGGGATGCCGAGGTGGGAGGATCGCTTGGGGCCAGGAGTTCAAGACCAGCCTGGGCAACATAGTAAGACCCTGTCTCTACCAGAAAAAAACTTAAAAAAAAAATTAACCAGGCATGGTGATGCATGCGTGTAGTCCCAGCTACTCAAGAGGCTGAGGCAGGAAGATTGCTTGAGCCCAGGAGTTCGAGAGCAAGACTCCATCTCTTAAACAAAACAACAACAAAAAAAGAGGCTGGGCATTGTGGTTCCTACAATCCTAGCACGTTGGGAGGCTCAGGTAGGAAGATTTCTGGATCACTTGAGGCCAGGAGTTTGAGACCAGACTGGCTCCAGAATTCATGCTTCCACCTCTGCCTCTGATTGCTTAAGTAATTTGCTCTCTACCTTTTTCAAAAGTTTATAACTCTCATGAATTGAATAAAAATGCCTCTGTCAGTTTTAAATCTACACAATGTAGAGCTTTGTGCATCTTCTACATCACTTAACTTCTCGGAACTCAGTTTCCAAATCTGTGGAAATGAAGACATTAACCTCAACCTACTGTGAGGATAAGTGAAATTATGTGAGGTGGCTGGTGCTAATAATATTTATGTGACATCCTAGTATTTAGTGAAGTTAATTTTCCTTTGCTTTTTCAACACAAATGCTACATTTCCCCCAAACAGGGGCTTTTTCTCTTTTTGATTAATTCAACCATTCATTTATACATCCGTTTTTACATCCATTCAATGAGCTTGTATTGAGAGTCCCATATATACTCTATATACCAGGCTCTCTGCTCAGCATTGGGGATACAGAAATGGCACGGCCCCCATTCTCAATTTGCTCAGTCATATCCAGGAGACACATAAATAATTACAACACAATCTGATAAGTAGCTCAGATGAGAATGTGGAGAAGGCTGGTTATAGTAAAGTAGGTATCCTGAAGAGATATGGGAGTCATCAACAGCTTCTAATCAGGGCATAACATGGTCAGATTTATATTTGTTGGTAGCATGGAGGATGGAAACGGGGAAGGACGACTAACATCAACGACGACACTAGCAAGGAGTCTGAATATACATTTGCCCCTTGATATCCTAGGAGGATTGGATCCAGGAGTCTGCAATTACCAAAAACTGGTTGCTCAAGTCCCTTATGTAAAATGGTGTAGTATTTGCATATAACCTATACACATGGTCCCACACGCTTCAAGTCATCTTGTTTACTTATAATACCTAATGCAATGCTCTATAAATGGCTGTACTGTATCTTTATATTTTAAAAAAAAATATTTCTGATCTGTAGTCAGTTGAATCCCTGCATGCAGAACCAACAGATAAGGAAGGCCCACTGTGTGTGTGTGTTATGTGTGTGTGTGTGTGTGTGTATATACACGTGAATAGGAAGCTTGAGCTAGATGTTTGATCTGGAGATACAATTTGGCGGCACTTGCAATTACTCAGGGAGAGTATGTGGAGTGAAAGGAGGATTGATGGAACCTTGCAAACTAACACGCAACAGCTGACAGAGAAAAAGCAGTTCTGGAGGAAACCAGAAGAGAAGAGTCAGAGGAGGAGGAGAACTAGGAAAGATTGTCGAGTCAAATGAATAGAGGAGACAAGGAGGATCAGGAGAGAGGGCCAATTGTGTCCAATGCTGTACAGAGGTCAAAAAGTGTCTATTTGATTTGTCAGCAGGTGACCTTTGCCAGAACAGTTTCTGGGTTACTGGTGCAGGCGAGGATTTCTCTGCAAGAAATGAGTGAGTGGGTAGAAAAAGTGAAGGCGAGGAAGTGAATGAAGGGCTGTGCCCTCTCTTGCCCTGGGGATTTCCAGGGCCAGTGCCGAGCGCTGGTGTGGAGGAAAAGCCTTTTCGACAGGGCTCTGGATGGCACCTAGGAAACCGTCAGCCTCGCAACTCTTAGGCGTAGCTCCAAGGTCAGGGTCACCCCGGGGCTCCGGGCAACCCGTCACCTTGACGACCAACTGAAAAAACCGGAAGGGACGGAAGTAGTGAGATCATCTCGCGATATCTGAAGCGCCGGCGCCGACTTTCTGGGCCTGGAACCCGCGGCCGGCTCTCGCGAGACTTGCCGGGAGTCGGAGCGCCGGGGCGGGCGGAAAGGAAAGCTGGAGCCGCGGGTGGGGAACATGTCGGAGTCTGATCTCGGCAGGAAGTGGGACCGGTGCCTGGCGGATGCGGTCGTGAAGATAGGTAAGGGGCTTTTCGCCCCCGGCAGGCCCGGCCCGGAGCCGTGCAGCCAGCTGCAGGCTCCGCTGGTCGGGAGGGCGGAAGGGAAGCCGCACGGGGGGTCAGGCCGCCGGGCCTGTTCCTGCCCTCAGGCCGGGGCGAGCTGCCCGAGCCCCGACGGGAGGTTACGCGGGCGGGGGCGGGGGCACCGACCGGAGGAGCCTGGTTCGCCGCCCGGCGCTGGGAGGGGTGGGCTTGCAGCCCTGAGGAGGTGGTCGTCAGGTTGGCAGGTGGCAGGTGGCAGGAGATGCAGAGCCTGTAGAGTGGAGAACGGTATCGGGGCACAGCCTCGTGCCAGAGCCTCGGAAGTCTCCCTGGTGCCACATCTCCCGGCACGGGGCGTGGAGCTGGTCAGGAGGCCACGTTACTCCCCAGCTGAAACGAAAGTGCCTTCTGAAGAAGGTCATCGGGACCATGTTGTAGACACTGCCAGCCCGTGGTGTGAATTGCTGTCATTCCTGAACTTGTCACTCGATTTATCTGAATCAGAGTAGCCTGGGGCCTGAAACTGGAGACATAGTGATGATCTGGAATGAGAATTGCGCTGGAAAGTAAGAAGTTGGTCACCTTCAGTCCTTGATGTAACTCCCCTTCTAACATGTGCTTGGGGACGACACGAATTATGAAGTCACTGTACTGGGAGGGAAAGAGAGGAAACTCATTGGGCGTCTGCATTATGTTAGGTGGGCAACTTAGTGCATTATTTCATAAATAATATTTGTACAGGTTATGAAAGGGAGAGTAGGGGAAGGGATTTGCCCAAGAGGTCACACTGCCAATAAATGACAAAATTGGGGATTTAATCCAGGTTTTTTTGGCTTCAAATCCCATACTCTTTTTCGATACTAATTTTTATCATCCAAACTTGATATTTTTACATGGAAATCTTAGGGTACTTAAGAGGATTTAGGATTGTCTCCTCAAATGAAAATATTGGGAAAGAAATAAGATTGTAAACTGCATGAAAGTAGGGATGTTTTCTGGTTTATTCACTACTATATCCCCACCCCCTAGGAGAGGGCTTAATAAAAATTGTTAAGAATGAGTGAATAAATGAAACAGTTTATCACAGTTACCATTTCATCCCTAAATTCAGCACTTGCTAGCCAGCCTTGTGATTTGGGGCAAGTTACTAACCTTTCTGTGGTTGTTTCCTCATTTGTAAATTGGCAGTAATAATTACTACTATCTCATAGAATTGTTGGGAGGATTAAATGAGTTAGTTTATGTAATGGCTTGACTATGGGTCACTTTTTAAGAATGGATTATTCTGGAAGTGGACCCCCAAAATACAGTTTTTGTTACTGTTAACAACAGCTTGTGTTTAGGAGAGAAGATTTAACACCTGATATTAAATGACCAAAGTAGTTACTTAACAGTATGATGTAGTTAAGAATGGGCTTTGGAAGTAGAACTGAGTTTGAATTGTCCACTCTCACTCTTCACCCCCTCCCTCTCTTTTTTTTTTTTTTTTTTTAGAGAGAGAGAGACAGAGTCTTGCTCTGTTGCCTGGGCTAGAGTGCCCTAGCTCACAGCAGCCTCAAACTCCTGGGCTTAAGCAATCCTTCTGCCTCAGCCTCCCAAGTAGCTGGGACTACAGACAGGCGTGCACTACCATGACCAGCTAATATTTTCTATAAATTTTTAGTTGTTCAGCTAATTTCTTTCTATTTTTAGTGTGTGGGGGTCTCGGTCTTGCTCAGGCTGGTCTCGAACTTCTGACCTCAAGTGATCCTCTGTCTTGGCCTCTCCAAGTGCTAGAATTACAGGGTGAGCCACCTCGCCCAGCCTCATTCTTCAGCCTTATCCTTGCTAGTTTTATAGCTTTAGTAAGGTTTCTTTCTCAACTTTGAAATGAGGATAAAGAGATTTATTAATACTTAAAAGGAGTAAGAAAAGTAAAGGACAGAAAAATACATAAGATATTTAGCAAAGTGCCTGGCACTTATTATGTATTCAGTTAATGATGGTAGCAATAATTGTTGATATTAATATTGTTGTGCCACTGATGACCACCTGAGGCAGTGAGTAGCGTCACTGTCATTTATGTGTGGGACTTTAGTGAGGGTGAGGCATACACAGGTGGAATAATTAAATGAGGCAAGGTAATGGATGATTACAGGTAAAAGTTCAAATGATTGAGTCTCTTTGCTGTAAATCTATTCTAAATCAAGTAAGTGGGGGGATGGGCTGAGGTCATTCACTAAGAGTTTGCAAGGGAAATGGACCTTTAGCTGACCTTTATAGAATGGCATGGGCTTGAATAGTCTGGAAGGAGGGAAGAACTTGAGCACAGGCCAAGTCGAACTTTTATAGAGGAGGAAATTGAAGCACAGAGAGGTTAAGTAACCAGAAGTGGAGGAGCTGGGGTTAGAACCCAGGCATCCTAATTTCAATGCCTCTATTCCCTAAAGAAAAGAGGGCTGGTTTGGGTGGAGTCAGAATTGTGAAATGTCTTAGAGAGAGTCTACTTTAACTTGAAGGCGTTTAAATTGCCTTTGACTTTTTTCACATGTATTCTGTATATTCAACACCTCTGTCTTAAAAACGATTGCTTCTAGGGCTCACTACAGGGCTGGTGGAGAATTATAGGATGGTTTCAAGCAACAAATATTTATTGAGCAGTGGGCCAGTCAGTGGGCAAATGGAGAAGCATAATGAATTTCACTGCCCTCAACAGGGAATTGATGTGATATAAATGGAATTTTGGTGTGATTGCTCTGGCAGTGTTTTATACAGAACAGATTTGGAGTGGAGGGAACTGGCAGTACTATGATTGTGAGGTGATAAAATTCTGAACTGTTAGACTGGAAAGGAATGGATATATTTGAGAAACTACACATTTTTCCCCCATTTATAAAATATGGAGATAGTAATACCTAGCTCCTACACCAGTACTGTGCCAGGCACATAAGTATGAACTCGATAAATGCTTTATCTTCTCTCTAACTAGTTAACTTTGCCTCATCTTCATTTCTTATAAAGGTGATTCCAAGGTCAGAACTTAGGTAAGTGCTCATTGATCAGAATTTGGAAGTAGAAGGGGTACATGTGAACCTCAGTCACACTAAATGACATCTAAGATTTCATAACTGATTATATCAGGTGGCAGGGGAGAGTGAGACTCTAGTGAGAAAAAATGTCATGGTTTTGCTCACTTTTCTTCTTACATGGTTGAGTTTGAGAATGAGAGTGGAGGAGTTGAGATGGAGGTTTCAGTTTTGAGGGAGAAGGTGAATTCAGATTTTGAGGGAATTGTCCGTTTAGTGATGGGCTTAGAGAAAGGGCGTAAGAGATGAGGCATGTGAGGCTTTATTCTGAGTGCTCTTTGAGACCATGAGGATGAATAATTCTATAGTGAGTTGCTTCCTGTCCTTAAAGGTGGTGAGGTTCTGGAACTCTTTAAACCTTTTAGGCTGCTTGCTCTTCTGATACTTCAAAATGAAGATGACATAGAAAATGGCAGCCTGCCATGAGATAGATAAGAGGTTTGGTGGAAGATGTGGGCAGGAAGAAAGGGCCCATGCAGGCTTTCAGCTCCATCTTGATAATTTCATGCTCTCTGGCTTGGCAGAAACAGAAGGGTGAATGGACAGCAACTTTTGTGAGCTTTTCTGTGTTTGGCAGTCTTATACCCAAAGTGCTTTCATTTTCCCACCAGCTCACTGCAAGATGACCATTTTAATTGCTCATGGTTAGCATAGATGTTGTTCAGCTGAGTTAAATAGTTCTCTTAAGTGTGTACATTAGGCAGTGGTGCTTTAAAGTGTTCTTCAAGGATCTTCCTCTGAGGCTTGAGTAATATCTCATATGATTTTGTCCTGTAGGAAGAGAAACATTTATTATACCCTTCCCCCCATTGCTATCTTAACAAACGCAGTTCTATTTACCCTGTTACCCATTCTGGTTTTAAAATACCTATTTATTTTGTGTCCAATAGTGTGGTAGAATAGGCGATTTCCTTTTGTTGTTTTTTTTTAAGAGATAGGGTCTTGCTCTGTCACCCAGTCTGGAGTGCAGTGGCATGATCATAGCTCACTGCAGCCTGGAACTCCTGGCCTCAAATGATCATCTTCCCTTGGCCTCCCAAAGCCACTGTGCCCAGCCCCAGTGATTTCTAATGTGGTTTGACCTGATAAATGAAGCCCCCATGGATCCAAAAACAATGACAAAAAACAAAACCCATATGCCTCCCTGTTCTTGGAAATAACTGAGTGATAGTCACAATGGTCTCTTATTACACATCTGTTTCTCACCTTTCCTATCTTCTTTCAGCTCTTGTTTCCTTTCTTTCCCTTTCTCCCCTTCACATTTTTACCCTTCTCTTTGGCCTCTGTTCTTATTCCTGTCACTGCTACCCATATGTATGGCCTAGTTCATCTATAAAGTTTGATGTTTACTTATCTTTTTTTCCCTAATAACCATGTTAGCATTTAAGAAGTTCCTGGGTGTCCTGTTTTTCTCTATCACATCACTCATTTTTCTTTTCTTTTCTTTTCTTTTTTTTTTTTTTTTTGAGACAGAGTCTCGCTTTGTTGCCCAGGCTAGAGTGAGTGCCGTGGCGTCAGCCTAGCTCACAGCAACCTCAAACTCCTGGCTCAAGCAATCCTCCTGCCTCAGCCTCCCAAGTAGCTGGGACTACAGGCATTCGCCACCATGCCCGGCTAATTTTTTTTTTTTGTATATATATTAGTTGGCCAATTAATTTCTTTCTATTTGTAGTAGAGACGGGGTCTCGCTCTTGCTCAGGCTGGTTTCGAACTCCTGACCTCAAGCATTCCGCCCGCCTCAGCCTCCCAGAGAGCTAGGATTACAGGCATGAGCCACTGCACCCGGCCACTCATTTTTCTTAATAGCATGTATCACTATCTGAAATTTGCAGTTTGTTTCTTTACGTGATTGTTCCTCCTTACTGGAATGTAAACTTCGTAAGAACTGGAGACACTTTCATTCACTGTTGATGT